GGGTAATAGGCTCATATTCGAAAATTACAAATGGTGTTACTTCAATCATCACTAATAAAATAATGATCCCACTTAGCCCTCTGGTTAAGAGAGTGTAGTCTAGAGACAGATTCCTTTGTTTCAAAGTCAGTGTTCAATATTTAGTAACAATTTGGTCTGGACAAGTTATTTTTCTAAAATAAGGGTAATGGGAGAACTCATAGGGGGATCTCACAGGGTTGTTGAAAGAGTAAATGAGTGAGCACATATATATATGAGTACGTGTGTGTGTGTGTGTGTGTGTGTGTGCATAAAGTGCTTATAAGAAGACCTGGCAAACCGTAAACGCTGAATACATTTGAATTATTATATTAATCAGCTTCTAAATTACTTTGAGGAAATCCATGCAATATTTGTTCTTATTAATGCCATACTACATGATTGTAATAAGGGAGTTAAAACAAAACGTGTTACCTGCAAACAAGTATATGTATGTTAGTCTGAAGTATCTGTCTCCATTATAGAACAATATTACTGCTTGTGAGAGAATCCATAATCATAAAGAGGAAAGAATAAAACAAGGGAATGAATACCTAAGTCCAGAAGAAGGCCAAAGTCTTCCTCTCTTCAGTTCAGTTATCCCCTTCTCACCACGTTCTGCTACTATTCCATTAAAACTAAATCGAATGATAGTGCTAACTAGATGGTGTGTGAAAAGCCATGGAGCCATCTCTATAGAGGCAAAATGTGCTTCTTACAGGTATGTACTGATACTACTGCTAACCTGCTCAGGCTATTATTTTTTCTTAGACTCAAATCTCAGAAGTTTAATCTAGCAGATATTTGACATCTGTGAATTCAATATTTTAGATTTAATTTATTCCAGAACAATCCTAAATCTCCATAATGTGCAAAATCCATCATCTTGTGGAAGTGTAAGCTCACATCTTGTCATCCTGATGAAACCAACCCAGGAGCCAGCCACTGAACCAATGACTTGGATGCTCTAACACTCTGTTTTATGTAAACATGAAGAACAAATGTATTCAATATTAGTAATTGAGATAGGATATTTTTCTCCACTTTAACAGGAGCAGTGGTTCTGCAAATAGCTTGTGCACCATTTACATGTGAAAACGTTTTGAACTACAGTTGAGTTGTAGTTATATGTGAATAAAAATTCATGGATTGATCAAAACTTTATTTCTGCTTCCCCGCCTCCTTCCACAAAGGCAAGGTCCTAAGTGCTGGTGAAGAGTGAGAAAAATTCTAAAAGTGTAAATATTCCCAACCTGAAAACTTTGGAAATTATTTTATTTTATGTTCATGTATATCATAGAATCATTAGGAGTCTAAAAAGAAGGTTAATTAGTATTTTTATTACTTTTATAGTTAAGTTAAAAGCTGTAGTAGAACTGATCATAATTTAGAGGTCTTTCGGGTCTTGGATAGTACTGTCGTAAATTACAGAGTATATGTTTTAGCTCCAGCCCCACACCCCGCCCCCAGTACAGTTTTTAACACAGTTTATATGCTATGTGTATGGTATGTGTATAGTGTGCATGTGTGTGTGTTATGTGTACAGTGTGTGTATGTGTGTGTGTGTGTGAATTGAATTTTGGCTTAAGTATGATTTTAGGATATCCAAAAGTCTCCTTTTTACAATAAGTTACCCTCTTCTCCTCATTCCCAGACTGTCCATTGTATCTTCACAGTTTTATATTTTTTTTTAAGTCATGGAGCACTTGATTTAATGAAATCTTGCACGGAAGCTCAAAATAAAAAACAGGTGAAACCAATCTTCTCTGCTAGGTGTCTGCCACCTCTCCTTTCTCCTGTGCTTACTCCACCCACCCTTTCCCCAGTTGTAGACATCAGGGAAGGCCTCTTTCAAGAAGAAAATTTTGTCCCACCAAAGTAGAAAAAAGTAAATATTGAGCTAACTTAAACAATAGTCCTTATTGAAATCAGGAGAGAGAGAGAGAGAGGACAGTGATAGAGAGGAAAGTAGAATCTGATCAGACCTGGACGAGAGTCCAGACTCCTTGTATTGGCAATTACAAGACATCTAGCAAAATGGTTTCCAAGATCTGTTTCTTTTGCCTGTCGGGGAGACTAACAATCAGGAAGAGTAAGTTTAGACTTACTATACACTACACAGAAGTGCTGATATTATCATAAGCAGGTCATTCATTCATTCCAGCATATATTTATTGAGGACCTGCTATGTGCCAGAAACTATGGTATGTCCCAGGAAATCAAAGACAAAAGGTGCAGTCCCTGCCTTTTAGAACCGTGGTAGTGAGGAAGGTATGCACAGTTGCTTGAGGGAATTAGAGAAGACCTTCCATGAGCATTTGCACAGGACTCAGAGGAAATGGGAACATGGGACAGTTAATTTAGGTGGGGCAACGAGGGAAGGAAAGTTGTTCCATTCTTCAAGGACACGTGGTCCCGTGGGACCGTGGGCATCTAGCTAAAGCTTTTATATATTGAAGATCAGGGCTATTGCCTCTGATCCCACTCTCTTTGGCTGTCTGACCTCAGAGCGTCCCATATACTTTGTTTCAAACAGACAGTCTATCACTACACTTCTACAGTAATTTGTAACTATCTGTGTAATTGTCTGTCTGCACCATTACACTGGGAACTGTTTGTTTCATATTTACGTCCCTGGCCAGTGACTGACAAATGAATGACAGCCACTTAATTGTATTGAATGAAGGCATGCATGAATGATTTCATGAATAAATGGAAGGAGAAAGTACATAACAGACATGTGACAGCAGGAAGATAGTGTTTGCTTACTTCAAGGTTTACATTGAGTCCTGTTCAACATACTGATGATCTGATCCTTCACCCACTCTTTTATGTAAATATGAAAAGCAAATCCTTTCAAGATCATGAATTAAGATAGGAAATGTTTTTCTCACCCTAACAGGAGCAGTGATTCTGCAAATAACTGCATGTTGTCTGCTTCCTCCCCACAGTGTTTGGACTGTGAATGCCCTCTAGGTTCCTGGGACTTTGGAAGACGGCTCCTACCTCTTCCCCACATGCTCAAGGTAGATGTGACCTCGACATGTAATCTGTACGAGGCAAACACTTATGAGCAATGGGACATCCCAGTAATAGCAGAGAATACATAGAAAAATTTGTGTGAAATAAAAGGTTATAGGGCTTGGGGGATATCTGTACAATAGGCTTTTCATCCTTTATGGACCTGGGAAACAGAGTGTCTCTGGGAGAGAAGAGCTCAGGCATATATATATTTCCGGTTTAACAAGCTCACAAATCAATCTGATTATCCAGCAATTCAACTAGGATCTGGTTTACATCTTGTAAACAAACACTTCTGGGTTTTACCTTTTTGGGTTCTGGCATATTATTAATATAAATAGTGTAGATTCCACTTTTATTAAAACCAGCTTGATATACATCTGCACAGTCTCTAAATGATTTCTCTTCCTCTCTTTTTCCTCCCTTTAGTAAAACTGCAAAAAAAAAAAAA